GCCCGGGCCCGCCGAGAGCCGCCGCGCCGCGTCACGGCGTCCCGCCCCCGGTTCCCCGCGGCCGCGCGGCCCCGCCCCACGCCGGAAGTTCCGGTGGCGGATCGCGGGACCCGGCCGAGCTGATCTCGGCGCGGGCTGCGGAAGCGGAGCGGCCGGGCGGGGAGCCCGCAGCGGATCCCGAGCCGAGCCGTGCCGCGCGGCGCCATGAAGGGCAAGGAGGAGAAGGAGGGCGGCGCGCGGCTGGGCGCCGGCGGCGGCAGCCCCGAGAAGAGCCCGAGCGCGCAGGAGCTCAAGGAGCAGGGCAACCGGCTCTTCGTGGGCCGCAAGTACCCGGAGGCGGCGGCCTGCTACGGCCGCGCCATCGTGAGTGCGGGGCGGGCGCGGGGGCGGCGGGGGCGGCGGCGGGGCCGGCCCAGCCCCGCTCACGCGCCCGCCCCGGCCCCCAGACCCGGAACCCCCTGGTGGCCGTGTACTACACCAACCGGGCGCTGTGCTACCTGAAGATGCAGCAGCCCGAGCAGGCGCTGGCCGACTGCCGGCGGGCCCTGGAGCTGGACGGGCAGTCCGTGAAGGCGCACTTCTTCCTGGGCCAGTGCCAGCTGGAGATGGAGAGCTACGACGAGGCCATCGCCAACCTGCAGCGAGGTGGGCTGGCGGGCGGCCGGGTGACGGACGCCTGGGCCCGGGAGGGCGTGCCGGCCGGCCGGCGTGACCCCGAGTCTCCGCTCCTCCAGCCTACAGCCTGGCCAAGGAGCAGAGGCTCAACTTTGGGGATGACATCCCTAGCGCTCTGCGCATCGCCAAGAAGAAGCGCTGGAACAGCATCGAGGAGCGGCGCATCCACCAGGAGAGCGAGCTGCACTCTTACCTCACCAGGGCTCATCACGCAGAGCGCGAGAGGTGGGTCCCTGCCCCTGCCAGGCCCCTCTCCAGGGCTGACACTGAGTGGCCAGCGCCGGTGTTTATTTAAAGGTCACACTGGCCACCTGGGAAGTTTGCGGGGTAAGGAGATATCAGGTTCGTTAGCTTGGTCCGTCAACTTACGCGGGTATCGTTGTCACCCCTCCCCCCATACACAGGGAGTGGAAGAGTGTCAGTGAAGCCATGAAGGTGAGCGAGGATGACAGCCATGTCCGGGCTCAGCAGTCATGCATCGAGGCCAAGCACGTGAGGGTGCCCCCGGCCTGATGGTCTGTGTGCATGCATGTGTGGCTTGAAGGTGTTCCATCCCATGCAGTTTTGTGGGCGTGTGTGACACACGGGTGTCTTAGCTCACATTGCGGGTGTTTTTGTGCAGAGTAGACTTAAGTGGCCCACATGTGGTGCTCAACTCTGGTAGGACAAATTCATGGCAGACATGGATGAGCTTTTCTCTCAGGTGGAAGAGAAGAGAAAGGTAAGCAGATGTTCAGGAAGCCTTTAAGTGGCAGGGACAGGCAGCGTCCCGTAAGTGGTCCCTGTCCCTGTCCCCCTGAAGTGCAGAAGTGAGACATCCGCGATTACGGGGGTGGCAAGATCAGGTTGGAGTTGATGCGGGAGCCTTGCATCACCCCAAGTGGTATCACGTATGACCGTAAAGACATCGAGGAGCACCTGCAGGTAAGACCCTTCGGCAGCGGGGCGCAGGTGGGTCAGGCCTGCCATCCTAG